TGTGTGTGTGTGTGTGTGTGTGTGTGTGTGTGTGTGTGAGAGTGTGTGTGTGTGTGTGAGAGTGTGTGTGAGAGAGATGTATGTACACCAGCACTCGGCACAGTATCTCCTTCAGACATGAGTGTTTCAGCAAATTCACTGTGCATGCATGTCTACCAACATGTCTGCGTGAGCATGTGTGCATGATGAGCAGCCGGATCGCATGCCCAGCACAAGTCGCCGGCACGGAGCCCATGGATGTATTGTGTCTCTGAAGCTGACTGTGTTGTTTGCTGGATGTCAGTTGCAGATACCCCGACTCCTCCCCCTCCCCCTCCCCCTGATGACATGCCCATGTTTGACGAGGCTCCGCCTCCGCCGCCGCCGCCTCCACCAGTCGACTATGAAGATGAAGAGGCAGCTGTAGTACAGTACAGTGACCCTTATGCAGATGGAGACCCTCACTGGGCCCCCAAGTCCTACGTTGAGAAAGGTGAGGTTCTTTTTAACTACTGAAATTTTAATTAATAAAAGTAAAGTAATTTATATCATATTTTTATTGATATTATTTTGCTATTATTAAATTTATATTTATTAACATGATTTATTTTGATATTTATTGTTTTATTTTTATTTGGTGTTGTTGCTATATTTAACATTGTTTATATATTTATTTTATTTATTAACATTTATTTACACACATACACGTTTGTATACACGTATATTTACGAAAAAACTGTATTTATTAACATGTAACTTTGTATCATTTATCATTATTTTTATATTTATTACCCTTTACACACATGTATACATACTATTTTATTTATTAACATAACTATTTATATTATAGTTTTATTGATTGTTGTTAATTTTTTTATGTATTAACATTTGTATATTTGACGTTTTATTTATTAACATGGAACTTCATATTAAATATATTATTATTTTTACTATTTACCATTAACATCATTTTAAATTTATAATTATTATTATTATGACATTTGTTTTATTTATCAACATATATGTATATGTATTGAAATAATTGTAATTTATATGATATAAATTGTATATTATATTTTTGAATTATTAGTACTATGAACCATTATTATTTTATGTATTAGCATGTTTTTTAAATTATTTATATATTTTTTATTTTTATAATTAAGATTTTTGATTAGTTATTAACATATGGAACTTCTTATATTAATAATACGTATATCAATAAGAATATCAATTAAAAATATAATCGTTACATGCTATTAAAAAATGGCATAATAATAATAATAAAGAACTTTATTGAATATTAGTGTCTTTCATCATATTGTTGTTGCCTAAGAACACCCTTAATGTAGCACACAGTCTGAAGTGGCTTAGCGTTTTAATAACTGATATTTCCCATGACTTTCATCTTTGCAGTGGTTGCCATCTACGACTACACCAAGGATAAGGTTGATGAACTGACCTTCATGGAAGGAGCCATCATCTACATCATCAAGAAGAATGACGACGGCTGGTTCGAGGGCGTTTGCAATGGCTTCACTGGTCTGTTTCCTGGAAACTACGTGGAGTCCATCATGCACTACGCCGACTGAAGGGACCGGACCTAAAAACCATACATACCCAATCAATCAGACCACAGTAGAAACCGTGCACAAGCACACGACTGAATGTTTGTTCCTCACAAATGGAGAATCGTGAAAATCGATGAACTTTACTTTGTGGTGATGGGTGGATGTGGGCAAACGGGATGACCAACTATTCAGAGGAAGTCAGTGTACATAAAATGTCTAGTGAATGTCAATCACAGTATCTTCGACAGTCAATACGACATGTGAACATGTAAAGTAGATGATCGTCTTCAACTAAAAGTCGACCATTTATTTGATTTTCTTTACCTCTTCTCTCCATTTACATTTGTTTGGACTTTTTGGATGCAAAAAAAAAAAAAATCCCTCATCTTATAAACTAATTCATTTTAGTGTTTTATCTTAAAGCTCCACGTCATTGCCCCGAATGAATCAAAATCTTAACGTAAAGCATGCATACAACATTTAAATATGTATTATAACCTAAACGTTAAATTCCATTCTGCTTTCATCTTTGTATTATTTACAGTACACATTTTTTTATATATATATATAGGCATTTGTAGACTTGTTTTTATGCTCTATTTTGTTTGTTTAATATTGATATAAATGTTTTTTTTTTGGGTAATGAATGCAAAGCACAGAACATTTTTTTATAATTTTTTTTCAATAACTCAGTCTCTCCACCAATTTGAATATTTTTCAGTTAATGCCACAATGACTAAAGTATTTGCTACAATGAACAAACATGAATTCTGTGTAGATACATAGCTTTAATATTTAGTCTGCAAGGTCTCTAATCAGTACACATCATAAATCTTGCAATGCTGGACTCGACTTTGTTTTGGTGCCATGGTCCTGTAACAAGTAATAGCCGCATGCTTTTACAGTACCAATACCGTGGCTGGTGCATTGAACAATGAACTGAGTGGTATCAGAATCACAGTCATGAAATCTGAACTGGTCCAGTTACTCAACTCAGGTCTGGCATTAATTCCTCCTTTTTAATTTTTGTCTATTTCCGTTCTTTGGGATCGTTAGTGGTCATACAGTCTTAAGAAGCGATTACAGAGATTTCATTAAACTACGTCTGACCGCTGTAAGTCATTTCAGGTGTTTAAAGCTAATGCTTTGATACTTTTGTCATAATGAAACATTTGAAGTTTTCCAACTGAATTCCATCTGTGCTGAAGATCGTCTCAGCTCAGAATTTGTATTTATATGTTAATTGAAATTTAATTGTACAGTCTTTTATAATAAATCATTCTATGTAAAGTGTGTCTGTTAATTTACCTTTTTTTAAACTAATGTAGAGGCAGACTCAAATTTACATCTTCCATACACCAAATTTAATAGTCATAATAATAATTGTATTTGCGACCATAGATTAATCCTTCAGTTTTATTAAATTGAAGGTGGTTAAAAAGTCTTAAATAGTACAACAAACATCCCAATTAAAAATAGGATCATGAAACTTAATTAATATACGAAACGGTGTAGACATTTTAAAATAAGAGTCCTGGTGTATCTCAGGCTTTTTTTATAATTGAAAGTCCCAAAAAAAAAATGCATGTTTTTTTTTTTTTCCCTAGCTAATGCTAATTTAGTTACACAGTAAACTCGATCTGGCATTTAACTTAACTTTTCTCTGGGCTGCCCGTCACAGGAAGGAAAGACGAAGAACATTAACACATTGAGTATATAGATTTCTACTAGTATCAGCACAATAATCTGTTTATTACAAATTATGTATAAAACTAAGGGCAGACTAAATATTACAAGCCATTATATTTTTCCTTTTTAAGATGGGAAAATAAGAGTCAAACAGGAAGTTTACTTAAAAAATACCTTATTTAATTGTAGTAAATAGTGAGGTTTAAGGCCTTGGTTGTTATTAAGCACTTGATGCAAAAGTACATTAACAAGAGCATCTTCGACATCAAAGACGTTTGGCCTTTCATAGAGTGGACGGATGTTTAAGTGAGCATCTGTAACGGATCCACATGTGACAGTGGCACCTCCATCTGTGCTACACCTGGAATTACAATGATTTCACAGTTTTTCCTGCCGTATCAGTAACACCTAACGCAGAGGTTAACGGAGATTACGGCTCTGTGATTACAGTACGGTCAAGCATACAGTGACAACAATGTAAATGTGATTCTTTGATCTCTGAAGCCCCGGCGTCTGTCTCTCATCTCACAGCAGGGCCCTGCAGAGGTGGAGCTGCCTGAGTGTGGAGCTCTGCGTCCAGGCTCACTTGTCCCTGTGCAGCACCAGCTCGGTCAGATGGATGAGCGCGTCTCGCTCTGTTGACGGCTGCAGCCGGATGATCTGACGAATGGCCTCTTGGCAGTAGTGTTGGGCGAGGTAGTTAGTCTGTTCCACACCGTCACTCTGTGTGTGTGAACGCAGAAAACAAGAGTTCACAGCTAGATATAGAAACTTCTGTAATGCTACTTCAACTATTCTACTGGGACGAATCACAAGAAACTTCAAGTAAAAAATCAAAAACACGTCAAGAGGAGAACTAGGATTGACACTTACATATAAAATGAAGGAATGTTTTATGAATCTATTACTTTAAATATGAACATTTTAATCACTTTATTTAAAAAAATAAAAATAAATAACAGACAAAGGAATCGATCCAATTATATTACTGACAAATTAACTATTTAAAAGTACGTTAAAGGAACACTCCACTATTTTTTGAAAATAGGCTCATTTTCCAACTCCCCTAGAGTTAAACAGTTAAGTTTTACCATTTTCGAATCCATTCAGCCAATCTCCGGGTCTGGCGGTAGCACTTTTAGCTGTAGCTCAGTATAGATCATTGAATCGGATTAGACCGTTAGCATCTCAAATGATATTACGCAGCGCCTGAAAATAGTCCCCAGCTAGGTAACTTCCAATAAGCCTATTTTCAGGCGCTGCGTAATATCATTTGTTTAACTCTAGGGGAGTTGGAAAATGAGCCTATTTTCAAAAATAGTGGAGTGTTCCTTTAAGTATTTCGTTATTAATAAAAAAATTTAAATTAAAATAAATTAAAGTTAAAGATGTATTTATGTTTTAGAATGTAGTTAAACAAAACAGTAAAGGAAATAATTTTAAATGAAATTAAATACACATTTTAAATGGAATTTTGAAAAACCACCTGCTTTTCTGTCCATTTGTCAATTTTCTTTATCGTTGTCAATGCTTTACTTTCTCCATATTTCACCGCAAATCAAAAATACTGAGAAATGGTATTTATTTTGCTTTTGCTAACATAACGCAAAAAAACGAAATAAAATAAGGTTATGCAAGTGTATGTAGTATAGCAAGATAATGAGTACATATTATAGGCATACATACAGTGGGTACGGAAAGTATTCAGACCCCCTTAAATTTTTCTTTTTCAACTGCTTTCAGGACTTAAAAGTTTTTATTGACCATATTATAATTAAAAAAATATATTCTTATACAATTATTTTTTTTAAGTAAAACAACTTTTGGGGAGAAATTGTCATAAAAAATATCACAATAGGCCTTAGTCAGATTAGACACCATATGTGACCCTGGAGCACAAAAGCAGTCTTAAGTCGCTGGGGTATATTTGTAGCAATAACCAAAAATACATTGTATGGGTCAAAATTATCGATTTTTCTTTTATGCCAAAAATCATTAGGATATTAAGTAAAGATCATGTTCCATGAAGATATTTTGTAAATTTCCTACCATAAATATATCAAAACGCAATTTTTGATTAGTAATATGCATTGCTAAGAACTTCATTTGCACAACTTTAAAGGTGATTTTCTCAATATTTCGATTTTTTGGCACCCTCAGATTCCAGATTTTCAAATAGTTGTATCTCGGCCAAATATTGTTCTATCCTAACAAACCATACATCAATGGAAAGCTTATTGACACTTATAACTGGTTTTGTGGTCCAGGGTCACATAGAGAATTTATCATGGATGACGAGGCTGTGAGGGATAGACTTACATTATTAACAATGACACACACTGTATAAAGGTTCTAGATAATGCAACTTTTCTCACCTTCAGGACATATTGCCAGGCTCGATCCACATCTCCATCAGAGCTGAAGCGTCTCATTATCATTGCATGCAGCTCAGGAAACTAAAGAGTGAGAGCAGTGTGAATATGGTTGGGAGGACTTTAGAAAAACCAAACTACAGACTGTGTTACGGTTAAGTTTATGGCTGTCATAAACCAGGTCAACCATTAGATCTGATTCCCCTGATTCTGTACTTCAGAGACGTCAGTTTATATTGTGAGAGCACAGGTGTTCAGCTGTCGTACCTGTTGACAAGCGAACAGAACGGGACCGGTGGCCAGACCCAGTTTGAGATCGGCAGCTGACGGCTTCCCCAGGAGGTTTGCACTGGAAGTGAAGTCCAGAATGTCATCCACAAGCTGAAAAACACAAGCAAACTTTTACATGACACAGATTAGGCCTGGGCGATAAAACGGTATTGATATTTATCGGCGGTACACCTTTGATAACGATATAAAAATAGTGCATGATATAAGCACGTGCTATGAGTGACGCAGACAGCACAAACACATGCTGAAATGAGTGCTGTGCCTGCCTGTGATGAGGAGACTGTGAATAAAGAATGAATATTAGTTGAATTTAAAACTGACTTTTTACTTGGCCTTTTTTAGTAAAAAAGAAAAAATAAATGTTTGAAATCAAGTTTTCTTATGCTAACAAAATTACATAGCAACATCTATAGTTGTACGCTTTCTGTATCTTCCTAACAATATAAACATAAAACACCTAATTATATAAACTGTAAAAACAAATATGTTAGGTGAGATGACTCATTTTTTTAAATATGTCTAAAAACCCCATCCCCCACATTACATTTTATATACATATACAGAGATTGCTACACCAGCTGTTTTAAGTCAGGTTATTATGCTGCTTCTGTGTATTGTTCAGTAAAGCAAGCTAATAAATGAACTGGCAATGTAAATATGCAACGTTCATATGTGTGAATTACAAAAATCAAGTATTAAGTAAAACAATTGAAAAAAATTGAATTTTTAATATACACACACACACTAGGGTTGACAGTGAGGACATTTTCCCACCGGTTAATCGACGTGTGACAACACCGGTAATACCGGTATCACCGCGGGGGCGGGGCGTTCCCTCTTTTCCTTGCTTTCCTTCACTTTTAAATAGCTTGTACAAGCGGCCTGCACGTTTTACTTTCACTTTCAAATAGCGCCAATTAAGGATATTAAGGAATTTTATATATATATATAAAATAAAGGAATTGTTCATTTTTAGTTCG